ACCTGGGTTGCAGGTTCGATCCCCTGCCCTAGCCTGGGTACATGTGGGAGGCGACCATTTGATGTGTCTCTTTCAAGTTGATGTTTCTCTCTCTCTCTCCTCCCTCCCTTCCCCCCCCCCTCTCTCTCTCTAAAAATCAATGGAAAAAATATTCAATAGAAAAAATATCCGTGGGTGAAGATTAATAAAAAATTTAAAAAAAGAAGAGGCAGTCAGGACACAGACACATGCAGTAGGTAACGAGACAGAGAGAGAGAAGACCATGTGAGGATGCATGGAGAGGCTGAGCCAGAGAAAGATGCCCTGGGAGAAACAAACCCTGCTGACCCCTTGTTCTTGGACTTCTAACCTCCAGGACTGCGAGGGTATACATTTCAGTTGTGTGGGCTGCCCGGTCCATGGTACTTTACTATGACCACCCCAGCAAATTAAACTGCTGGCCTCTCTGTGGCTCATTCCCTACTGCGCATCACGTCCTCATAAGCTCCTCGCACTTCCCTTACGGCGCTTTCACCTCTGAGTCTGCATCGGGACAAGGCCGCTGCTGTGGTGTGGAGCTCACCTGGAGCTGAGGACCATGAGCAGAAGATCTGTGTTCGAACAGACTCTCTTCTCTCCCCTAAAGTCCTGACGAGGCATTGCTCACAGGAGGTCCGCAGGGTGAGCCTTGTTCAATATCACTGGTGTCCTTATAAGAAGAGGTAATCCTCCTTGGCCAGATGTGGTTGCAGCAACAGGGCTGTCATAAACCGGCAGGCTCTCCCACTCTCTGAGCCGTTTCTTCATCTGTGTTTGTTTACCTGGCAAAGCTTTTGTTTTTAACTGATTTTTAAATGCTGCCATTTCAAAGGACATGTGTTCTCACGTCAGCAGCAGCCAGCTCACCTATTGTCTTACACCTGCCTGCTTCGCTTGTTCACATTCAGGTCTGAACCTGTCCCGACTCCAGCAGCCTCTGTGTGTGCGATTCCAGCACCGTTCGGCCTGCGGCGTGCCCTGCGCTTGGCCTGGTGTTTATGAGGTTTCTCCCGGCCAGGGCCTTCTCCTCCTCTGTGAGGCCTCCTTTGCGGCTGGTGGTTTGTGGCTGGTGTCCTGCCAGCTCCCACTCACACCTCCAACTCACTTCAAGCTTCCACCTCCGTGAACTTGGAACTGCTCACCCTTGTTTTTATGCTGAGGTTGGCATTGACTGGGTTTTTGGGTCTCCACAGTTCTCACTGACCCTAGCATTTCCATATTCACCCACTCATTTATTCATTCATCTAACAAATATTGCTGGCTTTCCAGTACATCTTTTAAAAAATATATATTTTTGTTGATTTCAGAGAGGAAGGGAAGGAGAGAGAGAGAGAGAGAGAGATAGAAACATCAATGGTGACAATCATTGATTGTTTACCTCCTGCATGCCCCCTACCGGGAATCAAACCCCCAACCTGGACATGTGCCCTGACTGGGAATTGAACTGTGACCTCCTGGTTCATAGATCCATGCTCACCCACTGAGCCACACTGGTGGGGCTCCAGGATGTCTTTTTAACTTGTTACTTCTGGTGCTGCTAGCTTAAATATAGTGTATCTAAAAATTTACAAACTGTTTTTCTTTACCCTTCTAATTTAAGT